CGGGCGCCAGCCGCTGCTGTTGGTGATATGGATCACCCGTACTCGCCATTGAAACACCTAAAAGACCCTAATTTGCCAAAGAGGACCCTCTCTCACATAAGAGCGCAGAATAATTTAGGAACGATTCCGATCGCGGGACCTACACCAATCGAAACAGCAGTCCAACGAGGAAAAATCAATCGCTAGCAGCTACATGATTACCAACCCAGAAAACTGGGATTACACGACTCCAAACCCCTATTATCACCAAAATTCCGATTCGTCCGTCTGCAAAAACCCTAGGTCTCCGCTATGGTTTGTGCAACTGAAAGAAGCGGTTTAACTCCTGCGCAAACACACTGCAAGACACAGGAGTGGAAAGAGCGAAGAAACGACGAGATGAAGTTTAAACTTAAAAGGGGAAGTGTAATTTTGCGAGAATTTGGAGGGTAATTGGGGAAATAAATATAAAACGTCCACAAGGCATTCTGGGCGTCCGTAGCCGTACGATCCCTACAACATTGTATAGCTCGCTTAACCAACAGTATTCTTATGTTAAAACCAGATGGGCCCACAGGCCGAGTAATTTAACTAGGGTTAATCATAGTCCTAGCAAATGGGCCAAATCATAGGCCTTACATTAGAAAGCATCAACAAAGATGAGCCCAATAGTGATAAATGGGCCCATTTATAAACCGCCAGACTCGAGATGGTACGTACATATTTCCAACGAAAATAGGTTATCTTGATTCTTGAAAATTCAAAACTGACAATCAGAACTCAGTATCAAAAAATATCCTTAAAAAGAAAAGACAACACTGGAAGATCTCTCTCTCTCTCTCTCTCTCTCTCTCTCTCTCTCTCTCTCTCTCAGATACACACATACATACAAAGAGCTTACTTACATATGGGCATGGCATTTAGGAACAGCTTTACAACTGAGGAAGAAGATGGAATCATGAAGATCGACGGTAGTAGTATCTGCAAGAAACACATAAAAAGCTGACTGGTGAAAAGCGAGTTTTCGGCTGTAAAGATCAATGGATAAGAGAGAATTCATGATGCTTACACATATATGTCAATGCCAAAGATGGAGGAGTACTTGCGCAGAAGCCGTTCCACTGCATACCACTGCGTTCTATCTGATGCGTCTTGGTATCCGATCCGGGGCATGTGGATCGAAGCTTTCCAATGATAAATTCACTAAAATGTTTCAACTTTCCCTCCAAACAATATATATATATATATAGTAAATGCATTCCCTATGATACATGTGAAGTTGGAACACATCATAACAGGTAACGTTTTAATCAAGGGAAGAGGAGGATGTACCGGAATTTCGAGAAGCAGAGAAGGAGGCCTTAGCCAGGCATCGTTCAAGGTCTGGAGTGGAAATGTTGCTACGAGGGATTTTACGCCTCGGGCTGTATGACTGTGCAATACTCAACGCCACCCATAGAGGTGGATTTTTACACGAGTTCCTTTGGTCATTGTTGTCTGCAAAAACAGCAAATCAAATCAGATGCTGAGGACATTTCATAGTGCCCCTGCATTCTTCATTTGCAGCACAGTAAACCGAAAGGGAAACCCAGAAGGAGTTTTTAGTGGTAGACCATCGATTTTAATGAGGTGAAGATCTCCGAGTTGAAGGTCTTTGAATTCAGATGCCCTGCTATATGCATCAGGCACAGCATCGGAAAGTCTTGCTAGAGCATCAAACATTCCTCCCCTGCCCCAGTTCCCAGAATCATCAAGGCAGCTGTCACAGTGAGAGTTAACAAACAGATGAGAATAAACTTTAACCTTCACACAACAAGGGTATTGAACAAATTTTCCTAGCAAACGACTGCAAACTCTTCATGGCAAATAATCGATATGACTGGCTTGAATTGCTTTATTAAGGTGGTCTCATGAATTCAAACGATGAAATCTATGGTGAAGTGAATCTAGATATAGCAAACTAGAATAGAAACCAGTGAATCAGAGCAGCCAAGGAGGGAAGAATGTATCTAAAAGTACTTGCCAATGCGAGAAAAGCCATTCAAAGGAAATGAATTTCACCTAAATATGATAGCTGGCTCATGAGAAACGGTTGACGGGTTTGTACAATCTCCATAAACAAAGTGAACAGAGCCTGCCTCTGGTCTCGAGTCAACATCATCAGGGAAAAGAGGCTCTTCAACAGATAAAGAGTGATACCCATGAGCTTCCCACTTGGCCAACTTCTTCTCTTCTGCTTTCTTCTTTGCAGCCTCAAGTCTCAGATTCCTCTCCTCGGGAGGAGGATGGCTCTTTCTATTCCCCAATTCTAAGAATTTGTCATTGTTACTTGACTGTGATGCCTTCAGTTTTTCAACCCATGCGAGGTACAAAGCTTCATCAAGCTCGGGATTAGTAACAACAGAAGCATCACTTCTTTTTTTAAAGACGTTGTTTCCTATTGAATCACTCGAATTGATCTCAAACTTTCTTGCTTCCCAATCAGGTTGGATGTCCTGGCGAATTGCAACGACCTTTTCAGCAAGAGAACTTATCTCTGAAGTTTTCTGGTTACTCGATTCTTCATTGTCAATCTCTCCGGGATCAAACATATGTAAACCAAAAACTATAGACCGCAAATCACCATGTTCTTCCTCTTTCTCTTCAAGGTCCGATGTATTGTCTCCCACAACATGATGACTGAGCTGCAACTTCCTCTCCGCTCTGCGCATAATGACCTAGACAACTGCAAATTTAGACTCTTATAATACATATGATGGGCTTTGTGATTTGAAATCACTATAGCTGACCTCCTCTATTGAATGTTCACTGACGAGGTTTATGGACAACACATGACTGATTTGTCCAATCCGATGAGCTCGCTGTAAAGCTTGCTTATCCACCTGTGGGTTCCAATCCTGTTCATAGAATATAACCTACATAACGGAACATAGTCCAATAAGTGCAAGAAATACATTATACCTACCCATTCTACCAAAGAACACATTTTTATGTAACGTTGATACTTCCAATTTCCACGGAACTTGTAAAAATAATTTGTTTGGAAATGGGCAAAACTAACAGTGTCAGCAGCCACAAGATTCAAACCGACTCCCCCTGCTCTTGTTGAGATCATAAATACAAAGGCATGGCTTCCTTCAGCTTCAGAATCCAATTCTCTTTCTGTTCTCAAGCTGAAGCTCTTTATGGCAGCAAAACGTTCTTCAGCCCGTATTGATCCATCAAGACGCTCATATGAATATTTACGTAACTCCAGAAAATCCTGCATCGGCATTCTACATAGTCAGCTTAATATATGATGCATGTATAGCTTTAAAGATTTGTAACTTAAGGAGAACAAACCTGCAAAATATCAAGTGTAGACGTCATTTGAGCAAATAGGAGGACACGGTGTCCAGAATCGTGGAGCCTCCTAAGTAGTTGATCCAGAACTAAAAGTTTCCCACTTGCCTATCATAATCAATTGTGAAAGAAATGAACTTGCATCAAGGGAAACATTTAAGAGAGGCTAGTTTTGCATAGTAGTAGAGCTGAAATGACAGGGATACCTGAACAAGGTGTTCACCCTCTTCAAAGGGTTCTGGTTCAATACCGGGAAACAAGTAAGGGTGGCTACATGCTTTTCTTAGCTGTATCACCTGGCTCAATGAAGTGACGCAAGAACAGTTTAACTCACAATATGTTAAGCTGCCAGATGGGAAAAAAATCATCTAACTCACAATATTTTGCAGAGATTGATGACTAGAAGCTCCACAAGAAAACGCAAGAAGCCCAGGAAGCTCCTTCCTCAATATGGAAGTATATACCTTCTTTTGCAAACTGACCAGTGGAACCATCCTGGAGTGAAGAAGAGATAATTTTGATAGTTCAAAGCAACCAAGGAGACTTTGAATTATAAATATTAGTAATTACAAAGAACAAGGCTTTACACTGTTAGTTCGGTTAGTGGTGGCAGCACCAGATTTCCAGACTCTATGAGCAAAGATTTGGTACGCCGGAGCATGAAGGCACCTAAGATATACTTTAAACTCTTATACTTCTCCTTAACCCTCGATGCCTCGAAACCTGTTTGACGATAAAAGGTCTCCATAAGGCAGTTCATGCTCTCACACCTTCTGAGTGGGGATTAAAACAAAAGAAACTATAAACCAATCAGAAGGTATGGTGGAGCTCTAAATGATTAGCGCGATAGAACCTGATAAAAGCTCTCCAGCCTCTTTGAATGTGAAGAGGAACTGGTCCAGCGTCCCAAAAACCAAAGGCATGCAGAAATGCAACAAAGCCCAGAGTTCGGTGAGATTATTCTGGATAGGTGTGCCAGTCATTAAAAGCCGCCGTGGTATGAGGAACCGATCCAGTAAGACATTGTACAGAACCTGTTAAGATAACAGAATTCTTTCTTAGATGATGGCCCAGAATCCCATTTTCGTGCGCTTAGCGCTTAGATTCAATCCACCTTAACCAAACAGGTACTAATATTCAACAGGAAAGAAGGCATAAAAATATCAAGATATATGTTGGACCATCAACATGAATAACACATGAACAAAGAGACGTATGAAGATGACTGAAAGTTCATCTGAAAATCTTAAGGTATCTAGCTCCTAAAGATATATCAATTTACAACTCAATAGCTGAAATTAGATGAATAGCAAGCCATCAGTGTACCATACACTGTTAGGATTCTTGAGTCTTTGCGCTTCATCAATTATTGCATACTGCCAAGGAATTTGAGAAAGAAAGTCCTGATCCACCAGTGCTATGTCATATGTTGTCAGCAACACATCAAAGGGTAAACAAGTTCCCTGAAAAAAAGAAAGAAAGAAAGAGATGATACAGAGATATAATTATGTTTCTCGAAAGACCCATACACACTGTCTCCAGTTTATCCTTTGCTAATTCCAATACTTAAGACTGCACTCTGTGCACCAAAACTTACCTTAGGTGACGATGAAGACGCCTCTTTGACATGTTCATACATCGAGTTACGTAAAGTCTGACGGTGATCCTTATCCCCGACATACCTAAGAACTTGTAGTTTCGGAGTAAACCTATTGATCTCCGATACCCACCCATCAGTCACACTTAAAGGGCACAGCACAACTGCCAAATTACCCAACATATCAACCAAGAAACAACATCAGCTTTTGTCTAAATAAATTTATCAATACATGGAGAGGGAAAAAACAGAACATAAGGCTTTCATTGACTCACGAAATGGCCCAGACAACCCCTGACGAAACTTCAAATAACTCAAGAAAGATATTGCCTGCAGAGTCTTTCCCAGTCCCATCTGTTCACCCTTTGATTAGACTAAGAAAAATCCACAATCAAGTGAAGAATTACAGCATATTGAAGAATAAACTCTACCTCATCTCCTGCAAAATTAGAATCAAACGAGAAGTGTTATCAACACGCAACTCCTAAATTATGAATTGCTAAACCCATCTCCTAAATTTTCTCTAAACAGGGTAAGAACAGGAATCCGAGGACTTGCCAAGAACGACATTGACGCCGAGTAGATACCTCCGTATAAGCCAGGAGACTCCTTCGACTTGGTGAGGCTTCAGCGTCGCCGTGACACCGAGTTCCTTGGAATCCGGCGGCGCGTGATTCCCTTGCGCGTCGTCCGCCAAGATGATTTTGGCCGCCGCCTGGACCCGCCGTTCGTACTCCATCACTCCGATGACGTCAACTTCGGAATATGTCGAAGAGACTTTTGGCGGTGAAGTCTCTTTGTTTGACGTGTTTTTGTTTTTAGTGGCCTGCCGCTTAGGGGCACGGAACCAGGGAAACGAAGACCGGAAACTAAACGTGACCAAGACGACGTCGTTTACAAGGGGTTTAGTAAGACGACGTCGTTTACAAGGGGATTACTAAAATTTAAGTTTGCTGTGTTTTTTTTTATTAGGCCGAGAAGATTACTAGCCCAGGCCCAAGTCTGACTGACGCTCCATTAGCCCCTCTTTCTCATGTAGAGGGTTCGTGTGATGTTTTAATTTTGTTCATTAAAAAGGAAAGTAAAAGCCTCGCCTGAATCCTCATTTCAGGAGGGTTACCCATCGTTTCAAATTCCCGGCGAGCACGAGACACTGAGCCCGAGAGAGAGAGATCGACAATGTCGGGTTTCTCATTCGGCCAATCCAGCTCCGGCGGCGGATTCTCGTTCGGATCCTCCTCCTCCGCCGGAACTTCTTCGGCTTCATCCACTCAGTCGTTCTCCTTCAACACATCTTCAAACCCTAGCTCCGCCGCGTCCTCTGGTCTTAGCTTCGGGTCCTCTTTCTCGTCCTCCGCTTCTCCCTTCTCATCTGGGTTTGGCTTCTCCGCATCTTCCTCCGGCACTGCTCCGTCACTGTTTGGATCTTCCTCTTCCGCCGCCGCCGCCGCCACCCCCACCCCCGGTTCTTCTCCATTTGGAGCATCTTCTCCAACTTTTGGATTCGGTGCTTCAACACCCTCTCAGTCTGGTATTTCCTCTTTTGCGACTGGATCTGCTCCATCTCCGTTTGGTGCTTCCTCTTTAGCCGCCGGCTCAGCACCATCCCCCTTTGGTACGTCTTCGTCAGCCGCTGGTTCGACACCTTCCCCCTTCGGTACGTCCTTATCAGCCGTGGGTTCGTCCCCCTCTCTCTTTGGTGCATCCCCCGCCGCTGCTAGTTCAACACCATCTCTCTTTGGCGCGTCCTCTTCAGCGGCCGGTTCGACTTCGCCCCTATTTAGCGCGCCCTCCTCAGCCGCTGGCTCGAAACCATCCCTCTTTAGCGCGTCCTCGTCAATCGGATCGACACCGTCCCTCTTCGGCGCGTCGTTTTCGGCCACTGGATCGACACCATCCCTTTTCGGCGCCTCCTCATCGGCCGCTGGTTCGAGTCCGTCCATTTTTGGTGCGTCATCCTCAGCCGCCAGTTCGACACCCTCCATATTTGGGGCGCCCATTTCATCCGCCAGTTCGTCGGGGGCGTCCTCGTCAGCCACCGGTTCGTTGCCTTCCATCTTCGGGGCGTCCTCATCAGGAATCGCTTCGTCGTCGTCCCTCTTCGGTGCGTCCTCGTCGGCCACGCCCGGTTCTGCCCCATCCCTATTTGGAGCATCTTCCGCAGCCTCAGCCGCAACCACCGCTGCGACCTCCACTCCCTTGTTTGGCTCAGCATCTGCAGGATTTTCTTTTCCGAAAAGCTCTATGGCAGCTACCACTGCTTCTGCTCCTTCGCAGACGTCTTCATCGTCTTCCCCGACTTCTTCCTTCTCATTTGGCACACCCCCGACTTCAGGTTCTCAACCTTCTCTGGGATTTAATGTCGCAGCTGCATTTTCAGCACCGGCATCGAGCACACCAGCGGCAGTGTTTTCTACTGCGACCACTACCACCACTTCATCCACTCCGGCTGCCACAAGCACACCCACTTTGTCAGCCGCTGCTTCTGTCCCGGCATTTCCTTCTCTTGCTGTGGCTTCATCTGCCGCCAGTACTCCCGCCAGTTCCGCTGCTACATCATCTACCACTGGACTATTCACTGGTTTTGCAAGCTCGTCGGCTGCTGCCTCTGGGACTACTAGCTCTTTTACTGGGTTTTCCGTATCCAAGGCATCAACGCCTGCCTCATCTTCACAAGCCCAAACTACTAGTGCTGCACCCGCATTCAGTAAGTTGTTCATTCGGTTTCTGGTCGTATATCGAGTTTCTTAGGAACAACATCGTATGGTCTCCTTTGCCGATTGTTGATTACTGCTGCAGTGAATAGAACTAGAATGTCAGATAACTTACTGAATTCATTGGTTAGGATTAGCCTACTGAGATAGTTTGTCTGGCGATCTATATCCACTCTATGCCTGTGTTTCTTTTCTGTTCATAAAAATGATTGTTTGTATTTGCCTCCAGTGATGTTTCTTGAGGTGATTGAGCTGTGAGTTTTTCTTCTGAAAGCAATATCGTTTTTCAGGTGTTCCCTCTTTGACTACTACAGCTGTTACTGTTGCCAGTTCTGCTGCTACTACAACTCAGACATCTCTTGTTGTGTCTTCAACTGCTGGGTGAGCTTATTTGTCTTGTCTGCTTAGAAAATGCCGTTACTTTTTGTCTTCTGGTATACCTGGTTGAAGCCATCATTTTCAAGATAATGTATGCATTTACTCTTGGATATCTTGGATAAAGTGGCGTGACTAGGCTGTACTTATTACCTCCTGTATAGTATATATCTGTATGCTAATCTATCGGTGTTGCAACTTAGTTCATGAATCCAGCACCTGGAAGATTTTCGCCTTGATTTTTTTTTTCTTGTGTCTTTGCTCCTTATTAATTATTATACATTTATTTTTGTGTATTGGATTGGTAATTTGGTATAGGATGAGCACAACTGCTGTGGCTCCGGTGGCTGCTACTCCTAAATTGCCATCTGAGATTACTGGAAAGACTGTCGAAGAGGTACCCATTTGCCCTGTTTTTGTGTTGGTCTATCTGCCAATTTCCTTCCTGAAGTTTTTAATTTCTTTTTCGCTTTTTGAAGATTATCAAGGAGTGGAATACCGAGCTTCAAGAGCGCACTGCTAGATTCCGGAAGCAGGCCAATGCAATAGCAGAGTGGGATAAGCGAATCTTGCAGAACCGTGATGTTCTTTTGAGACTCGAGGTAACTTTTTTTTCAACTGTAGAGGCTCTTCCAGAATTTTTGTTCTATTGGAAGTCCTCAGATACATAAGTCTCTGAGCTCTTATCTGTTATGTTTATTGATCAGTATATTTTCAAATTCTGTTCTTTACTCGTTCTTATGAGTTATATTAATCAACAACAGATTGAAGTTGCAAAAGTGGTTGAAACACAAGCTAGTCTGGAGCGGCAGCTGGAATTAATTGAAACTCATCAGCAGGAGGTAACCGAACTATTGTCTTCTCTGTCAGTACGATTAGGTTGGAGTCTATTAACATTTTGTGATGTTTTGTTTGTACAAGATCTCAATCTCTAACCACTATTTATTGTTTCCCCTGAAAGGGTTTTCAATTTATTGTTTTGTCTTGATAAGAAATCACACCTACCCACTATTTCATTCATAAGGTTGACAAGGCTTTGCAAAGCATGGAGGAAGAGGCTGAGCGCATTTATAATGATGAGAGGAGATTGCTTCTGGATGACGAAGCCGCATCAACACGAGATGCTATGTGAGAACCTCCGATATTTTCCTTTATCCCTCGACCGGCACTCTATTTCATCATATTATTCTGCTTGTTCATATGTAGAGACATGGCTACTCTGATGTAATATCTCATTATCTTTAACCATTTGTAAAGGTTTCTGGATAGAAATTTAGCATTATGACATTTGTTCAATTGATGATTGGTTTTTCATTTCAGGTATGAGCAGTCTGAATCAATAGAAAGAGAGTTGGAGCACATGACGGAACAAATCAGATCGATTATCCAAGTCGTAAATGCTAACCAGGTAAGATAACTTTACCACACAGACTTTGCTGCATTCTTTTTTTTTTACGCCCTTTTGGTGAGCAAAACGATTGTTCTACCTTTGTGTCCGAAGGGTGGGGAACTCGAGGCGATTGATGGAATGACGCCGCTCGATGTGGTTGTCAGAATCCTGAACAATCAACTCAGTTCGTTAATGTGGATCGATGAGAAGGTTAGTAGTCTTTTTCCCCTCCCATCACACAATCTTATAGTTGACTGTAAAACCCAGAAATTTCACCTTTTTTTCTCAACTGGTGATAGTATAATATTAGCGTTGCTCGTAGATCCGGGCTTATTGCCAATCATCCGATCGCATTGAAAGACTGATTGATTCGGGTGGAACGAACGAGCATGTTAACCGTGTTTTTATTTAATATTATCGGAAATTGAATTGAAACAGGCAGAGGAATTCTCGTCGCGGATCCAAAAACTGGCTTCCCAGGGTTCTGCTTCAGACATGATGGTTCCGAGACACTGGATGTCCTGATACTCATAGCCCCTGTCTTGTGTTTTTTACTGCTCCGTCTTGTAGTAAATCTCAAGCAAAAGGTTTAAAAAGAGAAAAGGGATCTGATCTATACATTAATATTTTCGTATATTTGTATTTTTTGACATCAGATTTTAGGTTTTCCCCCTTTTCTTGGGTCAGCACATGAAGGACGTGGGTTTATGTTACGGATTGATCTTTTTCACTCACCGTTGAAATATACGTCTCTGAAATGCATGAATATATAAACCTGTGATGATGTCTATATATAAACATATATAAAACGACGACGTGGAGACCATTTCCCTCCCCTGCCTCAAATGACGGGTCACGCGTTTCAAAATATAACGCTGTAGATGAAGTTCTCGCTTCAGATTCCAAGGCCTCCTCGCTATTTGTTCCGATTCTTTAGATTCAATCTGTGTAGACGCGAAGAGTGTGTGTGTGTATATATATATACCTTTCGTGAACATATTCTTGAGCGGCTCTAATGGCGGACGGGAACGCCCCTTCGCGGTACGTGAAGCTGAGGAAAGAGCAAGCGCTTGTCGAAGATATCACGCCTGGTGAACTCAACCAGCCCATCGAAGTCCCTCAGGTATGTGTGTCGTTGAATTCGCATTTCCCTTGGCTCCTGTGTGTGAATGAATATATATGATCGCGCGCTTGATCTCGTCTTCCTGATCTGTATCGCGATACGGATGGCGGTGTTTTTGGCGGAAATTCTTGTTGATTTGGGAATTGTGTTGTTGCTCGTGTCGATTTTGACCTCACGATGCCATTAAGTGGATCGATTCATAGTTGTGATCGAATCTGAGTGATCGAAACCTGCGTCTTATGGTTATTTTCCTTCTTCATCGACCAATTGCTTCTCCCGCAAGCAGGAGGTTATGTTTCCCATTGGTTGTCGGAATCAGGGCCTGTATGGTTGCATTCTGATCTGGTTTTCTGATATTTCCTGCTTTCAGTTTTGAGTTTTGTTTTGTCGTGTATTACATTTTGGGATTGTGATACAGAAGGATCTGCATCTCAGGAAGCATGGAGCTTAGCAATTTCTTTTGTACTGAACAGTTCTAATCGTGTGTAGTCTCATCAAGCAATCAATGATCCTGCAATGATTTGTCAACGTTTCCCTTAGAGTGTGTGATGAAAGGGACAACACCAAAATGACTGGTCTTCGAAAATTCTATTTTCTTTTTATCATATCGAGTTTGAACTTCTGCTTCATGGAGCTCTTAACAGTTTGACCAATTGGTTTATGTAATAAAACTACTGATTTTTTTTTTATGCCTTAAATTGTTGCAGTTGGATGTTCGAAGGTGCAATGAATGTGGACAAGTTCTACCAGAAACCTATGAACCCCCTGCTAATGAAGATTGGACCACTGGCATATTTGGCTGTGCTGATGATCCCGATAGCTGTACGTCTTTCCATCTCTTTTGCCTTCTTTCATCATGAACCCATAGTCAGTTATGTTCTTCGGAATCAGAGGGTCAGATGCTAGAACGGTTGATGCAAGTAGATAACTGCCAAAGGGAATTACATTCGCACGATTTTACATTTGTTTCTGGGGTGCAGGCTGGACCGGACTCTTTTGCCCATGTGTTCTGTTTGGGCGTAACATAGAATCATTGAGAGAAGAGATTCCTTGGACGCAACCATGTGTATGCCATGCCATATGCGTCGAAGGCGGCATGGCAATCGCAGCAGCGACCGCATTGTTCGGTGGCTATATGGACCCTCAAACAACAGTTGTGATATGCGAAGGTCTGTTCTTTGCTTGGTGGATGTGTGGTATCTACTCTGGCTTGTTCCGCCAAGAACTCCAGAGGAGGTACCATCTCAAGGTAACGTTTAACAAATACTGCCGACGATATAATGGAAAAACTTAATTTTGTACGATGGATGGGTGATATGAAAATTTATGCAGAACGCACCATGTGATCACTGCATGGTCCATTGCTGCTTGCATTGGTGCGCATTGTGTCAAGAACACAGGGAGATGAGGAATCATCTGTCTGATGCGGATGCTTCATCCTCAACGACCACCATGGACCCTCCCCCGGTTCAGGAGATGAACTCTGAGGAGAAGAATGATTCTTCTTCTTCCTCCCCTTCTTCATCATCATCTTCATCGCCCTCTGCAAAAGACAAACACAACGACCTCGAGATGGTGCCTGTTCCGTTCTAGGATCCACCATCTATATTCTTGGCGTTCAGGAAACGTTCCCTTTTGCCACCTCTCTCAGTATTTGTCTGCAGGGAAAGAAAAACTAAGGCGGCAGCTTTGCCATGAAGGTGGTAAGTGCGCCGTTAAATTTATGGAAACCCAATTTTTTGTTATGGGAAGCAGATTCATTAGTAAATTTTACAGGACCCCCAATTTGTGTAATTTGCTCCATCTTTCACTGCAAAAAGTGAAACATTCGGTCTCTAAGCTTTTGTTTATTCCAGTCACGAAATGAATGTCTTCATGTCTCATTGTCTTGTTACTCTTACACTCGCCGACCATAAACTTAAAAAATGCTTAGAATCTTTTGTCAGGCTTTGCCCAGGCGGGATCCTTTCTTAGCCTTCGATGTTTGCATCGACCGGCAAACCTTTGATTAGAATTAGTCCAGCACGTGTTCTTTTATCTTACAAGCAAAATAATAATAGAGGAATTAGAGTTTAGGTGATACTGCTAAATGCTTTCTCTGAGTTTGGTCGGCAGTTCAAGATCGGGTTCCGAGGGGCTCAGGCCACAAAAATACTGATCCACCATGTCCGTCGACACCTTATCCAGCGTCGGAGGATCCCACTGTTACAACTCGTCATTATTATTATGAAAAGAGACTTGTGTATGTGCAATCAAATCATATTTACTGAATTTGATAGTAAATCCGGAACAGAAGAATCACAGTACCTTTGGTGCGCAGTCCTTATCTATCACCCTCGCTCGTACCCCCTTAACAATTTATCATCGAATATATGTTATCCGTCCGTCATGTGGAAAGTTCAAAAACACATCAAATAAAAAAGCTTTAATGTCACATACCTCGCAGAAATCACCTGAGATTTGCCCAAGTGTACCTTGTAGTGACATTTTATACTCCCGAGCCAAGCACTGGTCAAGTGTCTGAGATCTACCCTCTCGGATCTATTCCCCACTCGGTCACAGGCCAAAATATTTCAGATTTCAGATTTCACATTCACATAACAAAAAGTGTTTCAAAAAGATAAGTGATTCAGGGACTCACGGATCTCAATGAGACCTTCAAGGCCAACGGCGAGACCTCTTTAAGTCTACTTAGTGCTGAAATGCACCATGCCTCCTTTGTTCGGCTCGACTCACTTTCCTGACATTACCGGTGACCACAAGAAGCCAATGCAGAGAGTATACCAGAGACTCGTATCAAAATTGGCTATTAACTTGGATAGTTGTTTTATATTCGTTATCTACTGAATTCTAATATACTCCACGTGATGATAAATACTAGGGGAAAAAAAGACATACCAAAGAATCGATGATCTCCTCAACTGTGTCATGGCTGAAGCACTTATTAAGTGATTCAATCCTAGCAATTCGAAGAAAGCGATAGCTTAGGAGCAATACAACAGATGAGGAAGGGTAAAGGCGGCACAATTCTGACAGACGACGCCAAAACACTAGAGCCGAGTTTCTATTTCTCTGGAGTGTGAAACAAACCTGTGAAGAACACTTGTCTTTTCTGGATAGACGAGTCCACTGCATCTTTCTAAAGATGATTCAATAACAGAAGGATCATCAGTGGCCAGCTTCTTAAGTTCTTCTTCCATCACAGGAACCCTCTGCCATACAATGAGAAAGTGTTACAGCTTTGCATGGAAGAAAGGAAGATACAAAAGAAAGGGATAAGTGAGAAACCTCGCTGTTAATATAATGGGTAGCAAGGCCACAAGCAAGCATTTCTGCTCCACTGAGCTTTTCCCCAGTCAGACCCAGATACTCCCCTGCAAATACCACATACACCATCCAGCTTAGAGAGTTATAGTTCACATTTTTGCAACAGAAAACAAAAATGAAGGAAAAAAAAGGCAAGCAGGTTCATGCGCTAACAAGCCGGATTATATCGCTGTTTACGATCAGAGCAGTGGCAGGACATCTAGAGATTAATCTTCAAACTATTTTCAAGCTAAGCTAAAATTGTACATTGTGGAATTACATACAACATGACGGAAAATAATTACCATTGCTTGTTTGGCAGTCAAATGCTATCATCCAAAATTTTTACTTCATGAGATTTTTTCTAGAGAGGGTTCAAATTTATGTTCCTATGGAGGCCAAGCAGAGTTTACATGATTAATTTGCAGATGGAATTTTCCACAAGAACCCAAAAGTCTAAATAAATTACAAGCCAGGAAAGTTATTTAAAAGATTTAAAAGCCACCTCAAGTGTACCTAAGTAACCGGGCAAGTGAGAGAGATAAAAAGAAGCGCCAGCATCGGGATGGAAACCGATTATTGTCTCAGGAGTAGCAAAAATCTGCAATATTTGAGAAGTTGTGAACTGTCAAGGGAGCACAAAAATCCAGCTGCATGACTAATTGGCGGCAGAAAATAATGCAATATAGAAATAGCAATACGCTTTGTTGTTACATACAGTTCTCTCTGTTGCAACACGAAATGTTCCTGGTATGGAAACTCCCCCTCCACCTCCCATAGTAATGCCATCAAGAATCGCCACCTGCATGTGGGCCAGAAGTATGAATCATGCCACTTATCGGTGATAAGGACATATGGTTATCACTTGCAAAGAGCTGCCACTGATTGAGAAGTAAACATTACTGACATGTGGCTTTAAATATGTGCCAAGTAAATATATAAAATTATACAGAGCCCTGAAGAACTCCTTCATAGCATCTCTCCGGCCTGAAGTAATTAATCCAAACGAAATGCACCAACAAGCACCGAATCAGCATCATCCTCCATAATTACAAAATAAGGCAATGCACAGTATTTGAATCCTCTTATACTATTCACAAGGAAAGGAACTCCATCCTACCTTCCTTTATAAGATGATAGAGTGACACAATATCCCCACCAGCACAAAATGCCCGTCCGCTGCCCTTCAAGGGTCCAAGAGCAATAGCAAGAGGACTTTCACGTTTCCATTGATGAGAAACAACAACTAAAACGCAACAGGGAACCATATTTAGACAAGCAGAAGCACAGATTACCTTCATCGTCACAAAACCGATATTTGGATCGTCTTCCCAATTTTTGTAAAGTTTCCCCAACCTAAACCCCTGAGGACAAGATAAATAGATAAAACATCTAAATTCCATAACGGTGGGCACCAAATCCAAAATAAGAACCCAGATGCTCAGCCGGAAACAAGAGCGCCTCGAAATCCAAATTTAGAGACTCCAAATCCGTTTCCGTTAAGTAAAGAACCGAAACGGTATTAACATAATCCGAAGAGTTGTAGATGACTGTCGGAAGAGTCTACCAGCGTCCACACAGAGACAGACGCAGACATATATACATATGAGGATACATATACACACGCGAAAACGCATTCAGAGAGAGAGAGAGAGAGAGAGAGAGAGAGAGAGAGACCATGTGAGTGGTGAGGGCATTAAGAGCAGGAGGTCTATTGAGAATCGCTGTACGGGAACAACCACTTCCTTCAACGAGGACCTGACGAAAAAAAAACACAAACAAAAGTAAGATCACGAACACGAAGAGAGAAACCTAAAACGATGAAGATCAGAAATATTGAAGGAACAAAGAAAAGAAGGAGAGATGCTAATGATGCAACCAAACCTGGTTATCGAGATCCTCGGCCATGGAGTTAATCGGAAGCGAACAGAAGCTTCTCTCGTGCCTGAACCGACATAGCCTCTGACGAACAAACCTCGGTAACGATCCTTTCCCGTTCTGCATTCCTCCTCTTCTTCGCCGTCGAATTGTTTATCGTTCCCCTTCACTCCTTGAGTCCTATTTGGTAAAAATGGATGATCTCTATTCGTGACATCGTTTCCTCTGTCTGTGCTCCTTGAACCTCTAATTCTTCCGGAAGGTCCCATATTCAGCTTTGTGAGCCCATTATTGGGCCTCCAGGCCCATTTTATATTAATGGCTGCTAGCTTTATCTTTTGCGGTAATTTTGGTATTTTGAGTTTTAGTTTAGTTTTAGAAATCCAGATCTTAAATTAATTGTTAGTGTTTCTTATTATGTAAAATTAGAGCTCTCGTACTAAATTATTAAAAAAAATAAAAACTTGTTTTTTTAATGCACAATTATTTTTAATTTAAAAGATCTTAAATAGAGTTTCATAAAAAAAACTAACCATTAAAAACATGTTGGTCAATAATCAAGCACGCTCTAATCGATCAAAAGCGGAAAATTTCTCAAGTTCAGTAATCCGATGATTTGAAAATCGACCCAAACTAGTAACTATAGTCCGATAATTGATTCGATAATTAACTCGAATCGTTAGCAATCGCCTGATGCTCCAGAATTCGTGCCACATAATCAGTCACCACTCGATGTTAGGTCGATTGTTGGTTGATGATATTATTAACTTCATAACTTTTACAACAAGTGTCCAAATAGTTCATTCTTTATAACATTAGAATGATCTTTTTCATAGATACGCACACACACCAAAATCGTACAAATCTAATATTTGAGTAGAAAGTTATGAGTATATTTAAATAACACTCTAATTGAGTGCCTACAAATCGACCAAAAACGGGAGGCATTTCAAGTTTAGTAATCCGATGATTTGAAAATCGACCAAAACTATTAACCATCGTTCGATAGTTGATTCGATGATTTAGAAATCGACTTGAATCGCTAGCAATCGTTTGGACCAAATGATCCAGAATTTTGGCCATATAATCAGTCATCCACTCGGTCGATTGTTGATTGATAATATTAGCACCAATCATAAGAATCCATTGGATGACTCGACGGTATTTTCGAAGTTCCAAAACAGATAGGGGCAATTTCGGAATTCAACTGTCCTGCCCAAAAAAACGAAACAGACCAGGTTCTACAGTTATGCAAACCTGTGAAGAACACTTGTATTTTCTGGATAGACACGGAGATTCACTATACTTTTGTTCCTCGTCATGGGCTTTTGGAGCTTGCTTTAAACTGATATGGGCCTGAAGGCCCAAACCAGTTGACTTTTAAAAAATACAAGAGTAAAATAAAGCGTCCTGTTTTCAGATCAGACAGCCGACCAGACCTCGTTACGGTCATCATGACTTGGGCCAAATGTATTATGAGTCATTTGCACGTCAAAATAAGAGAGAGACCCAACGAACAATCTCAGAACTCCCCTTCATGTTTTCTTCGTCTCCAAGAGACACTTCACCCCCGTTAAATTACCACCGTACCCTTCGATGTAGTGGTTACTCTCTATCTATCTATCTATCCTTTTCTTTCCTATTTTTTTCTTCAACAAATTTTATTACAAAAGAATTAGATGTAGATATGAACTCGTAGATTATAACTCAATACCTACCACTTCCAGACAAACACATGAGAGTTGTTCCAACTTCCAAGTTGCTCTTGGTGAGCTCCTTGCTTTCAGGGCGAGAGATGTTTTTTTTCTCTCTCTAGAGTTTAATTAAATAAATAGCCGTGAACAAATCTCGTGTTTTATTTTTTCCACGTATAATTCGATACAGCGATGTTTTAAATAAAAGGAATTTTTGAAATTCCACGCGTACAGTTCTGAATATCAGATAGAATGCTTGCAGAGTTTCCAACTGATCCCACCATTGAAAAACAAAAGTTTCTGACAACGTTTTTTTTTTTTTAATTTAATTTTCAGATTATCGCATCAGGATTTGGTCTTTGGTTAGTTAATTGAGCCAAAGAACAACTTATCCATTAACAAGAATTTTCAAAGCTCTTCACCACATCGTTTCAACCAAATCCATCATCCAAAATTCTCTCTTTTTTTTTCCCCTTTATAACAAAGCTTTTTTCCCCTTCCCACCACCTTATTATTTTCCCAAGAATTCGATCCTCGCAAAATCGTGCATCACATATGTACCATGCACCGCCCCCCATGCAATTCCATATCCATCACCTTCTTCTTCATGCTTCTTTTTCTCCATAGAATCGGAGCTCGACCAGCACCGGCTGAATTTACTCATACACCCTTTTCTAGAGAAACATCAGAGCCACGTGGCCTCCGTGGCGTCAGCTTACCGGAGATCAAACGTCACCTCCACCGCTTCGGTTACTTCCCACGCTACAACGAATCCGAAGACGTCGCGGACGTGTCGTTCGAATCGGCTCTCGTCCACTACCAGACAAAAATGGGTATTTCTGTCACGGGGAAGCCTGACTCCGACACGTTGACTCAGATACTCTTGCCCAGATGTGGCTCCCCCGACGTCGTGGAGCCCGAAACGACACGTAATCCCGCGTTTCACACGAACCAAAAGTACGTGTACTTCCCAGGTCGACCGAGGTGGGCACGTGACGTTCCCATGGCGCTAACGTACGCCTTCTCGCAGGAGAATCTTATCCCTTATCTGACACCAACTGATATTCGGCGCGTGTTCCGACGCGCCTTCGTCAAGTGGGCCTCCGTCATCCCCGTCAGCTTCCTGGAGACCGACGACTACGCCTTCGCCGACATCAAGATCGGATTCTACGGCGGAGATCACGGTGACGGCGAGCCTTTTGACGGCGTCTTGGGCGTTTTGGCCCACTCGTTCTCGCCGGAGAGTGGGAGGCTACACCTCGACGTGGCAGAAACGTGGGCCGTCGATTTCAGGGCGGAGAAATCGGCGGTGGCCGTCGATTTGGAGTCGGTGGCGGTGCACGAGATCGGTCACGTGCTTGGGCTCGGTCACAGCTCCGTCAAAGACGCCGTTATGTACCCGAGCTTGAAACCCAGGAGTAAGAAAGTGGATTTGACGGTGGACGACGTCGTCGGGGTACAGTCTCTGTACGGAACAAACCCTAATTTCACGTTAAGCGCGTTGTTGGCGTCGGAGACGTCAGCCAATGGAGCCGCCGATCCGATGCGTCGGTCCCTTGGGTTCATCTATTTGACTCCATTGACCATCTTCGTCTTAGGTACTATTTTGAATGTATAGTTCCCATAAATAGATACAATATTTTTTCTTTTTTTTTTTGGTTATACTCATTTAGATAGTGGAAATTACCGATACACAAGCAAACAGAAGAAAAAAACTGTACTTGAAAGATTCTTCGAGCTTGGAAAAGCACGAATCAATGAAACATTTTACACTTACCCTACCGTAAATTCCACGCATGCATTAATATAGGCTAAATATTATATTTATTTTTCGTCTGGTGCGTACGTGCGCATTAACCAACTCTTAGGTGCGGAACCGAACAATTTAAGTTGACAATAATCAAGCATTCTCATTATCAGATTCAGATAGATGTGTGTGTATATTATATATATACAAGTATGAGAGTGCATATAATAGATCTTTTCGTTTTGTCACATGCATACACTGCATGATGTATTTATTAAAAAAACATACATATCTCGTGTGCTCCGTGGAAAACGTGCTGTGATTAAAAACTTTGTCATGGTCTTCTAAATATTAATTTATCGAAAATACCGATGCATATATATACACACACACACAAATAAAAACTATCCGGAATCAAATTAATTAATTTAACCACGCCATTGAAAAGGAGAAATATCATTCATGCCATATATAATATGATAGAAAGTACACGTCTATATATGTAATTAAGTACATATACACATTATGATATGATGAACTTATATTCCATGTGTTTGTTTTAAAGAGTTTATTATGTGAACAAATGGCAAAAGGAATCAAAAGGACTTTCAAAAGTATTAATTAATTGCAATAAGCTGACAGCTTTAGTTTCTATTCCATGTTTTTCTTGTCCCAAAAAAAAAGGCAAATCACTTAAAAAGACGAGTAAGTTCCCGCAGAATCACAACAATACACATGTCGATGTGTGTCTGTGCGTGTGATCAAACACTGCTTTGTCGCATTTCCATCTGCACGTACATACACATCACATACATACCGATACCGATACCGATACACATATACGCACAGTATACGGGCGTGCCCATGTACACGAGTAACCATAACTAATCCACAACTCGTGTGATTTTGTCTAATTGTTATTAACAATCATCTTATGATTGATATTTTTATGTGATATTTGTAATAATTACGGTATAATGAAAAAAAAAGCGTCTTGGACTTGAAGAGTCCATCGTCTCGATAATATTTTACGAGGTTATAACTTATAACTATACCGCCCAAAAAAAAAAATACATTTAATCTTATTGACAGTGAATAAAATTATTTTATTTTTAATCTCTTACCAACTTACAATGGCCCAAAACACAGGGTCTTACACAGTTCTAATCATCTCTTCTTTATTTTCTTCTTACATGTTTAGTGTTTTTTTTGTTCGTCGTTGTAAAAACCTAATTAACACATGACATCCTTGAGAAGCTTGTACCTGCGAGTGGTCGGACGGAGGGGATGCGAGATTCCTCGGACGATCTTGTTGCTTGAGTCTGTCGACGGAGGAATATTCCGGCCGGTACAGTCTCTCTGACTACCCGCCGGCGCTGCGAGTGGTCGGACGGAGGGGATGCGAGATTCCTCGGACGATCTTGTTGCTTGAGTCTGTCGACGGAGGAATATTCCGGCCGGTACAGTCTCTCTGCCTCCCCGCCGCCGCCGCCACCCTGTACTGTCTCGCGCGGTTTCTTCTCCTCGCTTCGCTCTCACACCAATCGCACACCTCAACTTGCTCTCTGTAATAGCTACTGCAGTACCTGATGACGACGACGATGATGATGATGCACGTATGACAAACGTTCGTTTATAGACATTAACACTTTTAGATTACGAATGTGTAAAATATTGACTCACGATATCTTAAAGTGGTTATACTCGCTCATATCAATCTATATATTGACGAAGATGGAAACGTAGAGATATATGCAGTATATATAATTATACGTACGAGTGTTGGAAGCGGTCATGGCACTTGTTGCAACGGAAGAGCTTGTCGGAGAAACCCACGTCGCCACACATGCAACACACTGTCTCAAGATCTTCCATTTTCGTATTAAGAGGGAAAATACAATATGCAGACCAATTGAAAGGAAGAGAGAGTTGTGTGGCTGTGGGAGAGAGAGATGTATATTTTATATTCATATATACATGCAAGCGAGAGGAACTAAAATGTTATTTTATTCGTAAGTCGGTCCACAATTTTTTATTATAAGACTAAAGTATAAACAATGAAGGCCATATTAATAAATATTGAGAGAGACTAGGCGTAATGAGCAGGTAGACCACAGGTTGCTTGGCAGTCGTTTTCGGTTGGGGCTTGGGAGTTGGGAGGCGGAGAAGGAAGAACCTAAAAAACCGAGGTGGTTAAAATGACGATAATACCCTTAGTCCCTCCTCTATTATTCACTCGTTCCTTTTCAGCATCTTTTGTCCTTTTCTGGATTTTTATACTCTCTCACGGAGAGCGTGACAGCCACTTCCCTTTTGCCACCAATCTTTATTTCTTTATTTATTTAATCACAAGGGACCAAATATTTCAATATTTTCGGTAAATAGACAGATCGAGTTAAAAGCAAACGCGAGAAAAATAGCGACGTAATCAACCGAGGGGGAATGCCATTTCATACCATATTTATAACCAATTTAACAGTTTTTTTTATATTTTTAATACTATGAATAAAATTTGATTTAAATATGTTACATATATATATATGGTACCGTACCGAGGAAGCAACATTCGACTGCCCTATAAATCACAATATATCGGCGAAACTATTCTCCTTGTTTTTTTATATATTTTTTAAAAAATAGATATTTTTGCATCGATGTATCTATCGTGTCCATGTATATGTATACGGGGACAAGTCAACACATTCAATATCTCGTGCAATAAGTTGTATTTCATTCACCCACACACAGTATGTGTACACATATATAAATGTCCTTTGCAAAAACCGTGTGCTATATATATATGTGTGTATATATATATATAATCTTTTGTGTGGTTTTCTTTTGCATAATATTTTATAGGCCGATGGAGTGGAGCCCGTATTTTGGTGTATATTTTAAACGTGGAGAAGAATGGGTCCGTGGCCACGTTAAAAGAACGCCACGGTCACCTCTCACGTAATATCTTTTTTGTTTTTTCTTCTCGTGATAAATCCCCACAAAAAAAAAAAACGTATAACTAATACGTACTTATACAAGAAGGTCATAACAAAAGACCAAACGTCTCTTCTAAGTGACACTAAGATTTGTATAAAGTAAATCAGTCCAACAAAAATTTGAAAAATCTCTATTTCGTTTGTTTATATATATAGATATATGTATCATTAAAATTTTCAAAATAAAATAATATATATATGATAGTTTATAATACAATTTCTAACCGATATAAAAATACAATGGCATATAAATTTTATTGTATGTAAATTATTTTATATTATCTATTTTTTTAACTACAGATTTTTTTCGTACTCTCCATTTGCTAAACACACTGAGTTCGTTAGTATTCAGCAGG